GGATAAAGGAAACTATTGTTTGTGTGTGGCAGGGATAGAGGAAACTATTGTTTGTGTGTGGGAGGGATAGAGGAAACGAGTGTTTGTGTGTGGCAGGGATAGAGGAAACTATTGTTTGTGTGTGGCAGGGATAAAGGAAACTATTGTTTGTGTGTGGCAGGGATAGAGGAAACTAGTGTTTGTGTGTGGGAGGGATAAAGGAAACTATTGTTTGTGTGTGGCAGGGATAGAGGAAACTATTGTTTGTGTGTGGGAGGGATAAAGGAAACGAGTGTTTGTGTGTGGCAGGGATAGAGGAAACTATTGTTTGTGTGTGGCAGGGATAGAGGAAACTATTGTTTGTGTGTGGCAGGGATAGAGGAAACTATTGTTTGTGTGTGGCAGGGATAGAGGAAACTATTGTTTGTGTGTGGCAGGGATAGAGGAAACTATTGTTTGTGTGTGGCAGGGATAGAGGAAACTATTGTTTGTGTGTGGCAGGGATAAAGGAAACGAGTGTTTGTGTGTGGCAGGGATAGAGGAAACTATTGTTTGTGTGTGGCAGGGATAGAGGAAACTATTGTTTGTGTGTGGGAGGGATAAAGGAAACGAGTGTTTGTGTGTGGGAGGGATAAAGGAAACGAGTGTTTGTGTGTGGGAGGGATAAAGGAAACTATTGTTTGTGTGTGGCAGGGATAGAGGAAACTATTGTTTGTGTGTGGGAGGGATAAAGGAAACGAGTGTTTGTGTGTGGGAGGGATAAAGGAAACGAGTGTTTGTGTGTGGGAGGGATAAAGGAAACGAGTGTTTGTGTGTGGCAGGGATAAAGGAAACGAGTGTTTGTGTGTGGCAGGGATAAAGGAAACGAGTGTTTGTGTGTGGCAGGGATAAAGGAAACGAGTGTTTGTGTGTGGGAGGGATAAAGGAAACGAGTGTTTGTGTGTGGGAGGGATAAAGGAAACGAGTGTTTGTGTGTGGCAGGGATAGAGGAAACTATTGTTTGTGTGTGGCAGGGATAAAGGAAACTATTGTTTGTGTGTGACAGGGATAGAGGAAACTATTGTTTGTGTGTGGGAGGGATAAAGGAAACGAGTGTTTGTGTGTGGGAGGGATAAAGGAAACGAGTGTTTGTGTGTGGCAGGGATAAAGGAAACGAGTGTTTGTGTGTGGCAGGGATAAAGGAAACGAGTGTTTGTGTGTGGGAGGGATAAAGGAAACGAGTGTTTGTGTGTGGCAGGGATAAAGGAAACGAGTGTTTGTGTGTGGGAGGGATAAAGGAAACGAGTGTTTTGTGTGTGGGAGGGATAAAGGAAACGAGTGTTTTGTGTTTGGGAGGGATAAAGGAAACGAGTGTTTGTGTGTGGCAGGGATAAAGGAAACGAGTGTTTTGTGTTTGGGAGGGATAAAGGAAACGAGGGTTTCTGTGTGGGAGGGATAAAGGAAACGAGTGTTTTGTGTTTGGGAGGGATAAAGGAAACGAGGGTTTCTGTGTGGGAGGGATAAAGGAAACGAGTGTTTTGTGTTTGGGAGGGATAAAGGAAACGAGGGTTTCTGTGTGGCAGGGATAGAGGAAACTAGTGTTTCTTTGTGGTGGGGAGGGGGGGGGGGGAAGGGGGCAGACAGACATGGACAGATCGCCCCCCCCCCCCTTATCCCTGCTCTCAGTTCTGCCCTAGTGTGTGGATGTTTGCTTGTGTATGTTGGCCTGCAGTTATTCACTTCCAAAACGCTAGTCCTGTGAATTAAACGTCTCTGTCGACGAGGCTGCATTAATTACAGGCATGAAAATAATGTTCCCTTTTTGTGTCCCTTTACCTCTCACACTCTCGCCTCCTCCCACTCACACTCGTTTGTTCTTTACCTCCCACACATACTCACTCGTTTCCTTCATCCCTCCCACACACAAACACTCGTTTCCTCCATCCCTCTCACACACAAACACACTCGTTTCCTCTATCCCTGCCACACAGAAACACTTGTTGCCTCCATCCTTCCCACCCCCCCCCCCACCCCCAACACACACACAGACACTGGTTTCCTCTATCCCTCCCACAAGTACTCGTTTCCTCTATCCCTCCCACACACGCTTGTTTTCTCTACCGCTTACACACACACACACTTATTTCCTCTATCCCTTCCACAAACGCTGGTTTCCTCCATCCCTCTCGCCGCCTCCCTACTACTTCTACCCGTAACACCTGCCCCCCACCCTCTAGTTGTCTGCCACAGCCACCACCCTGACCCATTGCAGACCTACAAGTGTTTTTGAATCCACTACACACGTGATGAAGTTCTACCTCTCGGCCTCTATTTTTAGCCGCCTGCGCGTGCTGCTCACCCAGTATTTCTAACATTCATAACAGCAACAAGAAGAACGTGCGCTGAGCAGATACAGTCAGCAGTGAATACAAATATCCGCACTACGGTTATATTTATTTTAGATCATCTAAAATAAGCCGCCGTTTATTCGGAATCTCTTGGGGCGCCAAATGATTGGCCGAGGCTGCCAGTCTTGAACACAGAAAGGGTCTGTGTAGAGGAGGGTGTGTGTGTATATGTATGTGTGTGTGCGTGCGTGCGCGTGTGGATACATGCGTCTCTTGTCGGTTGTTTCAGTGTTTTGTGTAAACACAGAGATGTAATAGTGAGAGATCCACTTCCTTTAACCGGGTGTCCGGTTCCGGCAGAAAGGGTCTTAGCTGGTTGATAACGTTGCACAGAGTATGAAACTCCATAGCTCCAGCGACGAACTGTGGGGATTTTTTGAATGAAATGAAGGACTCAGAATACCAGCCTATGACTTCGCGAGGCAACCAGCTTATCCACTTCGCCACGGAGGGAAAGTACCCCCCCCCCTCTCTCTCTCTCTCTCTCTCTCTCTCTCTTTCTCTCTCCATCTCTCTTTCTGCTCCCTACAGTGCACCTGTCCTACTGTATGTATCCTGCACCGTTACCATCTGTACAGTTAGATGACAAAACTAGCTTTTTTTATAGACCTGTACTGACTCCTGACACCAGGCAAGAAGCACGAGTTTGTCGCATGTTTCCCCTCTCTGACAGACCTTCTTTAACCCCTGACACAGTAAAACACACCCTTACACGAAGGAAGAGGCGCGAGTTTGTCGCCACCTCCCATCCCCCGAGAGACCTGCAGTAACTCCTGGTACAGTAGGACTCGCCCTAGCACTAAGAGGCAGGAGTCTACCATAGTTCCCTTCAGCCGCTGACGTCACTGGTTTCTGAGCCTCACTTGGAGCTATCCACAGAACATCGACGTGACCCCGCCGTGTCTCGATATGTGGCAGTCGATAACACAGTCCTCTCAGCTAATAAACTTTTTGGAGGGATATCTGACTGAGTGTGTGTGTGTGCCCTATGTGTGTGGTGGAGTGGACACACATTTCTTAGATCTGCAAACGTAAGCGATGAAACAGGTGATCTGAAAGTTGTTGCTCCTGGATCTGTCACAAGTGGATAGTATAGAAACACTCAGTTAGTTATCACATGGTCTGCTTTGAACGCACAACCGAGTCGGCACAGAACCAAAACTGGACGTTGCCGGTAGACAATAGATCTAGTTGTTTGACCGTGTAACAAGATTGGCACCAGACAGGGCACCATTGTTATAAAGATACAGCGGTAACAGAACCAATGGTCAACCACGCAGAATGTGGACCCCAGAAATATCGGAGACACTGAAAAGTACCGTATACGAAGCCAACGGAAGGGTCCTTGCAGAGTTCTCCTCCCCCTGCTCCTGCGAAGCATTCCATGAGTAGAGAAACGACGAAGAAGAAGTAGGAGAAGATATGAAAGAATGTATCCTTGTACTCCCCCTTCCCCCCTCCCCAAATGCACGTGCTCCTTGCCATGAACCTTACCCTCCAGAATGTCGTTAGGACCCCCCCCCCCCCCCCCCCATAGCTTATGTTCTGACCAAGCTCATATTACTTTCCTTTGTGTATGACGTTGATTTGATGTCTTTTTTCTCCTTTGTCGGAGAATTTCCCTCTCACACACAGAGAAACCTGGTTTATGTTGACCACACCACACATTCAGTGCCGACCACCCCACACATTCAGTGCCGACCACACCACACATTCAGTGCCGACCACACCACACATTTAGTGCCGACCACACCACACATTCAGTGCCCAGTAGTCTGTAACAAATATCAGTCCAGCGTGTTCCTGATGCATCGTATACATCGAAATTGTCCTAACAGTTTACTTACGCACAGACCTACATTTGTTTGATGAGGGTAATGATTGAAAGCAGACGAAACATCAACACAGGTGGATATACCCGAGCTTTTGATCGGTCTCTGTGGCTTAGGCGTTGCAAACGCGATTCGTAATGCCAGGGTGCCGGGTTCGATCCCAGCTGTAGACGGCTTGTCTTGCGTTGGTTTCTACAGTGGCACCAAGAACCGACCGTCCAGTGAGGAGCAGAGGCAAACTAATCAACGTAAAATTCACCTAGAAAAACCATAACAGCCAAAACATGCTGAGGTTGATTCTGTAACGTCCTGTAAAAGATACGCAAAAACTCTACATTTGAAGTGAAAAAGTTGATAGTTAATGAGGACAACTAACCCACTTGACCAGCATATGTGTCTTTGTTTTGATGAAGGCTCCGACCCATATTTAGTGTGTGTCGGGCACGTCCCACTCATGGCATTATACCAGAATGAGCATCTTAGGTTGCTGCCCTTGGTTGTGAACATTTGTGTACCAGGTACCATATCTCATCCCTTTCTTACTTCCTCCCACTTTCTCTTACCCCTGCCTCTCTGTTAGCTGTGTTCTCTCCTGCCCTCAATCTATTTTCTTCACTCCCTATCTCTCTCTTAGCTCTCTTGTCTCCTGCCCTCTCTATATTTAACTCCCTATCTGTCCCCTTTCACCTCCCCTTGCACCCCCCTTCCCTTTTGGAACCCCGACCGCCTCATAGTCTTCCTGTATGAGGCACATTGAGTCTGTTTAGTCTGTACTAATGATGGAGTTTGCTTGTTTCTGCAGATAAAACGGTTTGAGAAGTTGGAGACGGACGAGGAGCGAATCAAAGAAGGAAGACAGATCTACGACACCTTTATCATGAAGGAATTGTTATCACAGTCACACGTAAGCATATGTGTGTGTATGTGTGTGCTCGCGCGCACGCGCTCTACCGTGCTACTTGTCTCTGCTTATTTTAGCTGCACTTTGAAGTTAATGTTAAAATGAAGGGAATCGATTTCATTATGTCGGATTTTATCCTATATGGCTGGGTTTCCACAGAACAGCAAACCGCCTACCGAGAGCGCTGCACAGAGCACGAAATCCTCAGTTCCGGCGACGATCCCCATGGATTTCTGTAAACATTGCTCTCGTAAACTGATCGGTGCGTTGAATCAGTCAGAAAGTAGTAAGTATTTTATTATGGTCACACACAACAAATCATGGTCACCCACAGCAAATTAGAAAAGTAGTATTTTATCATGTCAGTATATATCAGTCAGACATTGTCACCCACAACACATAAAAAAGTAGTATTTTATCATGTCAGTATCTTTCAGGCAGACATGGTCACCCACTACACATCTGAAAAGTAGTATTTATTTTATCATGTCAGTATCTATCAGCCAAACGTGGTCACCCACAACTCACAATGAGTAAGTATTTTATCATGTCAGTATTTCTCAGCCAGACGTGGTCACCCACAACTAACAATGTAGTAAGTATTTTAATCTTGTCAGTATCTATCAGCCAGACGTGGTCACCCACAACTTACAATGAGTAAGTATTTTAATCATGTCAGTATCTATCAGCCAGACGTGGTCACCCACAACTCACAATGTAGTAAGTATTTTATCATGTCAGTATTTCTCAGCCAGACGTGGTCACCCACAATTCACAGTGTAGTAAGTATTTTATCATGTCAGTATTTCTCAGCCACACGTGGTCACCCACAACTAACAATGTAGTAAGTATTTTAATCTTGTCAGTATCTATCAGCCAGACGTGGTCACCCACAACTTACAATGAGTAAGTATTTTAATCATGTCAGTATCTATCAGCCAGACGTGGTCACCCACAACTCACAATGTAGTAAGTATTTTATCATGTCAGTATTTCTCAGCCAGACGTGGTCACCCACAATTCACAGTGTAGTAAGTATTTTATCATGTCAGTATTTCTCAGCCACACGTGGTCACCCACAACTAACAATGTAGTAAGTATTTTAATCATGTCAGTATCTTTCAGCCAGACGTGGTCACCCACAATTCACAGTGTAGTAAGTATTTTAATCATGTCAGTATCTATCAGCCAGACGTGGTCACCCACAACTCACAATGTAGTAAGTATTTTAATCTTGTCTGTATCTTTCAGCCAGACGTGGTCACCCACAATTCACAGTGTGGTAAGTATTTTATCATATCAGTATCTATCAGCTAGACGTGGTCACCCACAACTCACAATGTAGTAAGTATTTTATCATGTCAGTATTTCTCAGCCAGACGTGGTTACCCACAACTCACAATGTAGTAAGTATTTTATCATGTCAGTATTTCTCAGCCAGACGTGGTTACCCACAACTCACAATGTAGTAAGTATTTTATCATGTCAGTATTTCTCAGCCAGACGTGGTTACCCACAACTAAAAATGTAGTAAGAATTTTATCATGTCAGTATTTCTCAGCCAGACGTGGTCACCCACAACTCACAATGTAGTAAGTATTTTATCATGTCAGTATTTCTCAGCCAGACGTGGTTACCCACAACTCACAATGTAGTAAGTATTTTATCATGTCAGTATTTCTCAGCCAGACGTGGTTACCCACAACTAAAAATGTAGTAAGAATTTTATCATGTCAGTATTTCTCAGCCAGACGTGGTCACCCACAACTCACAATGTAGTAAGTAGGGCTGTGCCGAATATTCGCTTCGAAGCCGAATAGTGGACCTATTGACTATTCAGTATTCGGTCGAATAGTTGCAGTCAGGCCGAATACGAATAGTAGCTACCTTACACCCGCTTCTGTATACACGGCCTTAATTCTGTCAACATGGAACGATTAGTTTTGTTGGAAGCTAATGCAGCTTTCATGCATTCACTAAGCTGTCAGTGACAATTTTCAAGTCTAGTTACTTGTTATAATACTTAGGATTCTTTCATTACTAGTTATTAGTTACCACAGACTGACTGAAGAATGCAAAACATAAAATGTTTTTAATTGTACGAATACTAACTAGACATGGAAAGAATATAAACTCCGGCCACATCCAAGTGGATAATATGAAAATCAAACGAACGGAAACATATAAGTACTTGAGTGCAAACTTCAACTGCTCTAACATGCTGAGAGAAGAAATACAATATAGAATACAATCTAGAAATAAAGTATACTATGCCCTTCAACATCTGCTAAAGTCAAACTGTCTGTCTCGCAACACCAAGATCAAAATAGATTAAAAAAGCCATCAAGCCTTAGAAACCTTGACATTCCCTTTCTAGAATCATCACCCGTTTATTGGCAGAGGGATATTATGCAAATTAATAATCTAGTTATATAAATAGTAAAAGTAAAGTAAACGACCCTTTTCCATGTCCTCAGGCATATTAGGTATATAGGGCTGAACCTATATTTTATAGACCAAATGGTGCTTGGTGGGTGATGTGGTTAGCGTCACGCCGGCCGCTTTTACTTCCCATGGCTATACACGGCGGTTCCCTGTATAATCTTATCTCTGATGTAATCTTGTTGATGTGCCCTAGCAAAGAGAGGGAGAGAACCTTGTCGCACTCGCTTTCTATGAGTTCTAGAAGACTCTACAAGGCCATCTGCCAATCCAGCTAGTGTATTTAGGTGTAGAGCCAGCTGATGCAATCTAGACGCAATTAGGGAACATGTCTGAGCATACTAGAACCTTCTAGGAGCAGTTAGTGAGTAGAAAACAACATTTGTGTTTTTTTTTTTCATTCCGGCATCTCTGTATAAATAGTAGGTAAGAAACCACTTGAGCAACCTTCAGTCTACGAGACTAAGAAGAGGAGGGACTAGTAGTATTCACATGAAGAATCTTCAGTCGTAGAGACTTGGAAGAAGAGGAATTAGTCATGTGGACCCTTCAGTTGTGGAGATGCCAGCTTGAAACTAGCAGAAGAGGAACCAATCACATAGAGCCTCAAAGAGGGACACTACAGGGGGTCCATTGTTACGTAATCAGCACAGAACAAAAAGCTAACATTACATTCGTTTTTAAACTCAGAAAAAGCGCGATTGAAACGGTTAAATTAATGCAACAAGTTTATGGGGATATTTTTTTTTAAAATCTCGTGCACACATTTTCAGGGGATATTCACATTCAAAAGTGGTGTGCTCATCCTTTTCCTGAACTGTAGTCCTGTTCCAGAACCCGAGTTTTACGTGCGCAACCATTTTTTCAGATCTGGCTCATTTGTGTGCAGACTGTTTGATTCCTTGCCTTTCAGGCAGATGCACTCTGCGTCGAAGAAAGCTGCTAGTCAGTCTGCACTAACGACATGCTTTTAGGTAGGCAGTGGGTCTGGTCTGTTCTTGTTTTCCCCACAGGGACGATTCAGTGATATTAATGAGGCTGCTTGAACACAGGCATGTTAGTACCGACATTGGTGTCAATTGTAGTACAGTGATCGATGTGTGTGTGTTTCAGACGTACCCCAGGTCTGCAGTGGAGCATGTTCAGGAGGCGGTGACCACCGCACAGAGGACCAGGAAACTCGATGCAAACATTTTCGAGGTAGGTAGCAGCGTTTGGGTGTCAGCTGGCAGTCACTGGAGGGGGTGTGCCGGCCCTGTCACGGCTGGGGTGTGCCGGCCCTGTCACGGCTGGGGTGTGTCGGCCCTGTCATGGCTGGGGGTGTGCCGGCCCTGTCATGGCTGATGTGTGCCGGCCTTGTCATGGCTGATGTGTACCGGCCCTGTCATGGCTGGGGTGTGCCAGCCCTGTCACGGCTGGGGTGTGTCGGCCCTGTCATGGCTGGGTTGTGCCGGCCCCGTCATGGCTGGGGGTGTGCCGGCCCTGTCATGGCTGGTGTGTGCCGGACTCGTCATGACTGAGGTGTGCCGGTCCTGTCATGGCTGAGGTGTGCCGGTCCTGTCATGGCTGAGGTGTGCCGGTCCTGTCATGGCTGTTTGTCCAATCTGTGGGTGGTGTTCTAAATACGTCATGCGTGCAATAGGTGTGGCATGTTTGATATATTGTTTGACAGAATTGTGTGGACTAGTTATAAACTGTGTCTGTGTCAAGTACATGAACCATTTCCATGCTCTGATGCGTTTTGGACATTATTTCTTCTTCTTTCTCCTCCTCCTCTTCAGCATCTTTCTGCTGCTCGCTTCCTCCTTTTCATCGTTCTCCTCCTCCCATTTGCGGTAAACGCCTCTCGGTATGAAAAGATGCCATTCGCTCAAGTTGATTCTGGAAAGACGGGATAACTAAGACATGAAATAGCTACTCGGTCTTGAAATTATTTTTTTTTTTAAGGGAAAGGGGGAAAGAAATGGCCAGGAAACATTGCAGACACAGATAGGAATAAAGAAAGACACGAAAAATGAAGGAGAGGGAAGAGTGTCAGGGAACATCGCAGATAGAATGAAGAAAGGAAGGAGAAAGAATAATGCCAACGAAGAAAGAATAATGCCAGGAAACATCGCAGATAGAATGAGGAAAGAAAAGAGAAAGAACAATGCCAGGAAATATCGCAGATAGAATGAAGAAAGAATAATGACAGGAAAGATCGCAGATTGGAATGAAGAAAGACACGAAGAAAGGAAGTAGATGAAAAGAGACCAGGAAAAATCGCAGATTAGAAGGAAGAAAGAAAGGAAGGAGAGGGACAGAGGGAGAAAAAAAAAAGATTACTTACTTTTGAAAGCGATTCACCGTTCATTATACTATCTGGCACCGCCTCTGAACTTTTAAAATAAGCGACAAGACTACCCGAAGAGACAGCATATCATTCAAGGCAGGCACTCAGTGTCAAATAATAACTCCTGCATGACTTCAGGCAAATACCTATTGATTGGCATCGATAAGATAATCGACGCAAGCCCGAGGCCATCGAATTTGTTGGGTAAATGCTAGCTGTATGTGTTGATATATTCTTGGTGATTTGGCTAAATAATGACAGTTCTGCAGGGGGCTTTCTAAAGTCTCACTACGCTGTGTGCAGAACACATTTGAAAAAATGCACATGGCGTCATAAAATATGGAGTAAAACGTCATTAAATTAGTTACAATAACTACTGATATGGTGGGACGCAGTTTTGGGGAAGCTGGAAAGTACTAAGGAAATGTTCATTATAGCAGGTTGTGAAAATGTCCACCACGAGATGTGACACACCATTTGAAACACTGGTTTAACCAAAAACTATTCTTTCTTTGTTTTGCTGTGCGAAGAAATACTTCAGCAGACGACGGCCATTCACTGCACCCTGCTTCGCGATTGACGTCATGTGCTGCGTTGTTTCAGATTTGTACTACCTACAGAGTGTAATGAGACTTTAGAAACACGCCGTCGAAGTGACGGGGACACGATGAAACTTCAGCTGTCTCTCTACTCACTTGGTCTCAGGGCTTTGGTGGGGGCAGTCAGTGTGTTCACTCTTGCGTCCCAGCTAGGCACTGTAATAAACAAAGGGGAAACATTGAGGTCATTAAATGTTATACAATACAAAAGTAACTATGAGTGCCGATCAGTACAGCTAGGCACTAGTATGATGAACAGATAAGCATGATTGACATTCACAGAAAGAAGTAGAGATAGGAGGATACTGTAGACAACATAGAAATCGAAAGCTTTAGTTTCCACCCCAGGACATTAAATGATTCAAGAATATTATGAAGTTCGGGAGCTGTGATTTTGTCCAGCACGGCAGCCTTTAGTCGCCGTGGTAGTGTTTTCGAACCATCCCACGGTGGGAATGTTCTTTAAGGGGTACCAGAGAAAGATCTAGGATGTAAAAGGCGACCGGTGTGATAGTGATAACACAATCCTCGGTCAACACGCAATGATTAAGGATCTGACGCAAGATGTCACCAATCCAAGGACAGTTTACTTCGTCATAAACGCATCACCAATCCAAGGACAGTTTACTTCGTCATAAACGCATCATCAATCCAAGGAAAGTTTACTTCCTCATAAACGCATCACCAATCCAAGAAATTTTACTTCGTCATAAACGCATCACCAATCTAAGGAAACTTTACTTCGTCATAAACGTATCACCAATCCAAGGAAAGTTTACTTCGTCATAAACGCATCACCAATCCAAGGACAGTTTACTCCGTCATAAACGTATCACCAATCCAAGGACAGTTTACTTCGTCATAAACGTATCACCAGTCCAAGGACAGTTTACTCCGTCATAAACGTATCACCAGTCCAAGGATAGTTTATCGACAAACTTTCACACCAGCTGACTACAGTCAGACGTGATGGCCATATTGTGACAGTTATAGAAGGCAGTGGTTCCTGGTTATCTGAGCCCTGCCGACAGCTCTGTTCCCGGCTCTGTTACAGACCCCATCATTTGTAATAATCATCATGGACAACTGGCAGCACTGGCTTATACACGGGATCGTGGATGACCTGAAGATTTGTACTTGACAAGTTTGCCGTATGGCTCTTTATTGTTATAGAACAGATGGTTGCTGCAGAAGTGGGATCGTGTAGCCATTGGGAGACCATTCCCGGCTGGCGGCGGCGACCACTTGGCCTGCTGTAACTGCTAACCTGTCAGTATCTCAGCCAGCAATAACAGTCTTGCGGTGCTTGTTAAGTTCCTCTCCTTTGTTAAAATTATCAAACAGCCCAGCTCTCAAAGTGAGCATCGATGTGGCAGCAGTTTCAGCTGATATTTGGGTTGTCACATTTAATACCTGTCACAGTCAAATGTCACTGTCAGCTAATAGTTGGGCTGTCACATTTACTACCTGTCAAAGTCAGGCCAGATTTTTAGCTCTTGTAGGTCAATCGTTCCCAAAGGAGTGTTTCCGCATCTCGTAGTGGCTGTTGCAGTTTCTTCTTCTTCTTCTCCTCCTCCTCCTGCCCCCCCCCCCTCGATCTTATTTTGTTTTCTCTTTCGCTCACTCTCACTCTTCTTCTACTCCTCATTCTTCCCGCCTCACCTCATGTTCTGTATCTTCTTTTTCTTCCCTTTTTTTTCCATTCCTTCCACCTCTAATCCTCTTACTCCTGCCGCCCCTTCCCCCAATTACACCATTATTTTCTGTCTAGCTAATAGATCAGACACTTGGACATCCCATCCACCAGACACAGTTGCTCCCTCAAACCACCCGCACATCCTCCAGAACCAGCAGATATCCAGAACCCGCAGAGATACAGAACAAACAAACTGCCACACTAGCTGCACCCAGTCTTGGGAAGCCAGTCTTCCCCGTCCGGCAAGGAACTAGTTTAGCTCACAGACACAAGTCAGTGATGTTAGCCTCGTCTTGGAGCTACCAGCTCTAGACATCGCCATTTATTACTGCCACAACAAAATGTGTTTATGAACGCACACAAAATTGGCTGTCGACCAGTGTCGCTGTGTCGTCGGGCACGAATCCGCGTGGTTTTCTGGGGCCCTAAATGTAGGCTGTGAGGGACCTGTCTGGGTGTCAGGCACGAATCCGCGTAGTTTTCTGGGGCCCTAAATGTAGGCTGTGAGGGACCGGTACACGAACCAGGGAGTAGGCTGTGAGGGACGGTACATGAACCAGGGAGTAGGTTGTTGGCTGTGAGAGACCGGTGCATGAACCAGGGAGTAGGCTGTGAGAGACCGGTACACGAACCAGGGAGTAGGCTGTGACAGACTGGTACACGTACTAGGAAGTAAGTTGTTGGCTGTGAAAGACCGGTGCATGAACCAGGGAGTAGGTTGTTGGCTGTGAGAGACCGGTACTTCCTTCCCCCTCCCCCCTAGACATCTTTAGGTACCCATTGTATTCTAGGTAAACAAAACGGTCCTTGGTCAACTATAATAGCCTGCGAGTTCTGACCTAACACCTCGGGGTCCCAGTGCCAGTGAGTGTTTACTCCCTACTCTGCCACGGTGATCCGTGTGTGGTTCAGCTGCTGAGATCGGGAGCTGTTATTGTCAAATCAGGACTGTGTTTGTGCATCGTTTCTGCATTAGAGAAAATGGGTCCGTGACAGGACCAGATCTGCGAGATGGCTGCCACGTCATTGCACACGTTTTGTTTGATTATCTCCACAGGGAGGCTGGGCGCTTGTAGAATATGTTAGTAGCGTCCGCTGCCCCCCTCCCCTCCTCCCCCTTGTCATTTGTTTCTGGTTGATTTCCTTATTCCTTAAGTTAAGGAATTGTGCGCAGGGAAGGCGAGGAGTCCACAGTTTTCATGTTGCTTTCCTGCCTTAGGATGCGCAGGAAAGGAGAGCCACTCGTTGTGAAATACTTGCTCTCTCTCTCTGTGCCTCTCTCTCTCTCTCTCTCTCTCTCTCTCTCTCTCTCTCTCTCTCTCTCTCTCTCTCTCTATCTCTATCTATCTCTTGTTGCGGAATATTTGATCTCTCTCTTGTTGTAAAATATTTGATCTCTGCCTTGTTGTGAAATATTTGATCTCTCTCTTGTTGTTCAATATTTGCTCTCTCTTGGTGTGGAATATTTGATGTCTATTGTGGTGGAATATTTGCTCACTTGTGGATTTGGAGAGGGGAGGGGGGGGGGAGAGAAAATAGACCCACTGCACTTGTGGTGAAACAGGTGCAGATATCGCAGCCTGCCTGTAAACCACAACACAACGTGTCAGCAGCTGTTTTAATAGAGAGATGTTACACTTATACAATAAGTGGTCTCAACACTTACAATATTTGAGTGATACATGAGCGCCCCCCCCCCCCCCCCAGTTCGATGAACAGTAGCGCTCTGGTGAATTCTAATACAGTATATTCTGTTTTCTTTGACTCAACGGTCGGCTCTAAATCAGTGGTTCTCAAGATTTCTTTGTGGCGAGACCCTCGCACCCGAATTTAAAAGTAATGCACAGATATAAATCCCATGTACTGTTAACTGGAACTTGGAGAAAAATGTCCACATCAACACAGTGTGTAACAGAAATGTCCACATCAACACAGTGTGTAACAGAAATGTCCATATCAACACAGTGTGTAACAGAAATGTCCACATCAACACAGTGTGTAACAGAAATGTCCATATCAACACAGTGTGTAACAGAAATGTCCATATCAACACAGTGTGTAGCAGAAATGTCCTCATCAACACAGTGTGTAGCAGAAATGTCCACATCAACACAGTGTGTAGCAGAAATGTCCACATCAACACAGTGTGTAGCAGAAATGTCCACATCAACACAGTGTGTAACATAAATGTCCATATCAACACAGTGTGTAACAGAAATGTCCATATCAACACAGTGTGTAACAGAAATGTCCATATCAACACAGTGTGTAACAGAAATGTCTTTGGCTGTTTTATGTTATAAATAGTTTGAAAAAAAATAAATAATTGTATTTCTAATGAAACTAAAACAATGTTTGATATAACAGTTTATTACAAGTACCGATATACTCAGTCTCCATTTCTGAAGGACTCCCCTTGCTTGTCTACAGCAACGTACAGCAATGTGTAAAGAGGGAGAGAGAGACAGGGATAAAATGAGAGACAGAGACAGAATGAGAGACAGACAGAAGGAGAGACAGACAGAAGGAGAGACACACCACAGAGAGGGAGAGAGACACACGGAGAGACATGGAGACAGAGAGAGAGAGAGAGAGTCGGGATGAGAGACAGGGGGACAGAGAGAGAGACAAGGAGATAGAGAGAGACATGGAGAAAGAGAGAGGGACATACAGAGACAGAGAGAGCCAGCCAAGGGACAGAGTGAGACTGAGGGACAGAGAGAACGAACAAACGAACAAACTTTATTTTTAAAGGGTTAAGAATTGGGCACGCAGGCCCGTCTAACATTCTGCCCTTCGAGTTCTCCCTCCATTCTTACATCATTTCATTCACACATCAAGTAATATTAAAAGTTAGCAATAGCATCAAAATAACCAATACAAGCACTAGAATGTGCACATTTCTAACTACAGTAAAACGTTTTAGTTGTAACAAATCTAAGAAAAATGAGCGCTATTTTTTTATGATTAGTTAGGGCGAAACAGAAAGATAAATGGAGGGCGGGTGATGGGTGATTTCTCTAGCTATGAACTGCAAGGGCTTGGAATGCTGAAGAAAAATAAGAGAAAGAAATAAGAACAACTCTTTATCTTATTAAAAATAGTATGGGTTAGTTTGGTGCCCTGGCTGGTGTGAGGTCATGACCCGGGCACATCACTGCTAGAAGGCTGTGGATTACTGCTCTAAGGTATCGTCATCGTCCTTTTGATTCATCCAGCTCAGGACATTGGCTTGTGGTCCATGGACAGCGGAATAGCTACCAACCCTGGAGTAAACTTGACCGACCTGTTGCCCTCTAGTTTGTGTATTTTGTGTTTGAGTCCTGACCAGATGACTTCCAGGTATCCCCCTCGTACACCTGTAGTTTTGGTGTTTTGCAATCCCGCGGGTTTATGTTGGGAGAGTGAGAATTCTTCGGTACTGTTCCCTAAGATATTGTATTTGGATACTGGGTTAGGAGGAATCGATACCGAGCTCAGTCCTTAGAGGCAAGTTCCCATAGGGGTTCTTCTCCTTCTTTGCGTTCGGATTCATGTGCTCAGATGGTTGCCTCTATGAACTCGCATGTTAGCAGCAGGTCCTTCGGGGTTCCTATAACTTGCTTTGCACACTTTGCTCTTGAGGCTAGGTTCAGAAATGGGCCTCTGATTCGGAGGTCAAACAACCAGCAGCAGCAGCGGTAACAACCCAACATTGTATTTTAAAAAAAAAGTGGCCCCTTCTTGACCAGCTAACCCAGATGTTTTGTTTATTATTGTTTGCTTCCAGCCATACATCCAAGAAATCTGCAATTCTTTGAGGGGACATATATTTGACGCGTTTATATTAAGGTAAGCCTGCTTTGTGTGTTCTGTTTTGTGTGTGCGTGCGCGTGTGTGCGTGTGTGCGTGCGTGCATTCGTTCAGTTGTGGGTATAAGGTGCCTTAACCAACAGCAGTATGAACACAGACATAGGATGTTGTCTTCTGGTCACGAACAAACGACACACCAGCAACCAGCGGCAACTTCGGATGCCTAACAACGGGACTGTAGCAATGAGTGGACATGGAGACATCTTGCTTAACAATGGGACTGTGGCAATGAGTGGACATGGAGACGTCTTGCTTAACAATGGGACTGTGGCAATGAGTGGACATGTAGACGTCTTGCTCAACAATGGGGTTGTAGCAATGAGTGGACATGGAGACGTCTTGCTCAACAATGGGGTTGTAGCAATGAGTGGACATGGAGACATCTTGCTTAACAACGGGACTGTGGCAATGAGTGGACATGGAGACGTCTTGCTCAACAATGGGGTTGTAGCAATGAGTGGACATGGAGACATCTTGCTTAACAACGGGACTGTGGCAATTAGTGGACATGGAGACATCTTGTTTAACAATGGGACTGTGGCAATGAGTGGACATAGAGACATCTTGCTCAACAACGGGACTGTGGCAATGAGTGGACACGGAGACATCTTGCTCAACAACGGGACTGTGGCAATGATTGGACACGGAGACATCTTGCTCAACAACGGGACTGTGGCAATGAGTGGACATGGAGACGTCTTGTTTAACAATGGGGCTGTGGCAATGAGTGGACATGGAGACATCTTGTTTAACAACGGGACTGTGGCAATTAGTGGACATGGAGACATCTTGTTTAACAATGGGGCTGTGGCAATGAGTGGACATGGAGACGTCTTGCTTAACAACGGGACTGTGGACATGGAGACGTCTTGCTTAACAACGGGACTGTGGCAATTAGTGGACATTGCTGTCTGTAAATACCGCTTTTTTAGGGTGTGAACCTGAGGGCACAGGGACCGCCTGACCAGTTTTGTGGCAATGACCTGTACAATTTAGGATATTGATCTATGCCACTGACAGAAACACGTCCATTAACTTACTGGGGTTTGAACTCGGGTCCCCATCAACTTACTGGGGTTCGAACTAGGGTCCCTACCAACTCACTGGGATTCGAACTAGTGTCTCCATCAACTTACTGGGGTTCGAACTAGGGTCCCCATCAACATACTGGGGTTAGAACTAGGGTCCCCATCAACTTACTGGGGTTCGAACTAGGGTCCCCTGCCTCTCGGCCAGCCGCTGCTCGTTTAAAACTGGAACATTACTTGTGATATTGATGTCACTGTCATACAAAGGCATGGCGGGGGAGGGGGTATTGATGTCACTTTCATACACATGCATGCCGTTGGGATATTTGCATAGGGTGTCACATTAGGCACTCGGGCACTCCTTACGTTTGACCTTTCCAGCCTGTCATCTTTCCTACAACAACGGTATTATTTGATCTAGCAGTTTACATAAAATGAATATTAAGTACTTACACAAAAGCGTTTTAAGAGGAAAAAGACATACATACATATATACGTCCTTAGATTGTACATACACACGCGCGTGCGCACACAGAGAATGTTTCGATCTTCCGTATTTTTTTTATTACTGACCGTTGGTATGTTTGCTTTTAATCAAAGTGAAGTGTCCTATCATTCTGTTGTGCTGTCTGAGAGTTGGTCGTGGCAATCAATAATATCATGGCTTGTTATTGCACTGGCGGCTAGAGTTTCCTGTATAACCGTTATCTGTCTCCCTCTTTCTCCGTCTCTCTCTCTCTCTAAGAGCGTATGTGTCGGCTTGTCTGTCCTTTCGTCAGAGTGACTTTCGTTTGCCCTATAATCGGTTTCGCTGTCTCATAATCTGTTTCACTGACTCATAATATGTTTCACTGACTCATAATCTGTTTCACTGACTCATAATCTGTTTCACTGTCTCATAATCTATCTCACCGACTCATAACCTGTTTCACCGACTCATAATCTGTTTCACTGTCTCATAATCTGTTTCACTGACTCATAATCTGTTTTACTGACTCAATCTGTTTCACTGACTCATAATCTGTTTCACTGTCTCAAAATCTGTTTCACTGTCTCATAATCTGTTTCAGTGACTCATAATCTGTTTCACTGTCTCATAATCTGTTTCACTGACTCATAATCTGTTTCACTGTCTCATAATCTTTTTATTTTCTCATAATCGGTTTTACTGACTCATAATCTGTTTCACTGACTCATAATCTGTTTCACTGTCTCATAATCTGTTTCACTGACTCATAATCTGTTTCAGTGTCTCATAATCTGTTTCGCTGACTCATAATCAGCGACCCATTATCTGATAGTCTGTTTGCCTGTCTGTCTGTCCTATAACGCCAGCAGTCTGTGTCACTGTGTATGTAAACTCCTCCTCCAGCTTGTATGTTCTTGTTTGTTGTTGCCGCCTGTATAATCTACACACTCACAGTGGGTAAGCTGAGAGAGACAGAACCCCCCTCGGCGTGCCCTGACAGCACACAACAAATAGCTGATACAAGCAATGCATTACAGACAGATCAGATGTATTGGCTAAACTAAAAGTCAGGGCAGACTGATGAAATAAATCACTACTGGGGGGCAGGTGTCGAATACAGGCGAGCAGGAGGTCGACAGCGATACACGCGGAAAGCTAACACATGGAGTTTGACTAACAACGTTAGAACAGCAGAACTTGCCCACACATTGAAGCGTATCGGGTGAATGGTGGTAGACTCATGTTTGTGTTGACCGGTTTGGCGGGAATCAGTAGTTTATGTTGTGGGGTATTGACTTGTACAGGACAATTTCAGAGACTCATTTGAGACTGGGTTCGCCTGACGAAGCTGCTCATGCTTAAACAGAAATCCTCCTTCATCGACGAAAACAAACTACACATTGAGAAAGAACAGCGGATACCTACCTCCTTGGAAATCAACAAGGGGCTGCGTGGTCTTGACATATGGTGTCAGCCTCGAGTGCTAGAGGTTCCGGGTTCAATCCCCGGTAAGGGCTGGGTTTTTTTCCCCCACGTCGACTTAGACTTCAAGTAATTCCCCCTGGTCTCTGGATAGTGAGATCGGGCGCCCGTGTGCATTGTTGCGCACGTAAAAAAATCCATTGGCAGTTGCGAATCGAAAAGAGTAGCCTAACGGCGCTGCCCGGGCAAAATTTGGAGTTAAAATCTACCCAAAGTATTTCAGGATCCTCGAACGGTGGTTCCAGTAAATCAAGGCGAGGAAAAGATGCTGGCGTTGGATAGGTCACTCACAGAAAGCTTGACAGCGTTCTAATTAGTATTTCCTTACACTGAGAGTTAAAGGCAGAATTTAATATATATATATATATATATATATATATATATATATATATATATATATATATATATATATATATATATATATATATATATATATATATATAAAGCAGATACGCACGCACATACATACATACACACATCCACGGAGAAGGTGATTCGAGAAGTGAGAAAGATGGATGGGGAGGGCAGGGATGAGTGACACGTAATTGTAGAGAATAGGCCACCTTGGCTTGAGTTGGGTGAGTGCCTGTGCTCCGGTGGGGGGAATCAAAATCACAAGAAGAAAACAGATAAAGCAGCAAAAGCAGCTTCCTTCAGATGTTGCATTTGATTCGTCTCCATGTGGGTTTCATGGCTCTTTGTTTAGTGTGTGTGAGCAGAGGGGAGGTGGGCGGGGTATGCCTACTACAAGCAGTTTTAAAAAAGAGTCTAATTAGGAGTGTAATTAAATCAGATGTGTTTGTCTAAAGCCACACATATCCTGGCCTAGCTGAAAACGACAATGCAGCATACAAACCGCCTTTTTTGACCAGTTTAATGGCGAACGAAGAAGAAGAAGGTTGTTTTCAGATGTTTATTTAAGGAAAAAATGTCATCATACCCTTTATGCTTCGCTAAACAGACAGACAAAACCGAGAAAGATCAGAGTGAACCAATATATATTTGAGGTGTGATTTCTTTTCTATAACCCCCATTTTCCCCCGTGTGGGTTCAGGGACTCCCATTCTGGACACAGCAAGAAAAGACCCACTGCCTTCCCTACAAACATGTCCTAAAATCAATTATTTGTTGGCCACCTCAACAGAACATTGTCCATCTTCCTTGTACAGTGAGAGTGACTGTAGTGTGTGTCATCCTTCGGAATATCAGTTGTTTGGTTGCTTGATTTGCTGATTGGTTTGTTGGTTAGCTGGTTTCTTGATTGGTCGGTTGTTTGGTGGCTTGATTTGCTGATTAGTTGATTAGTTTGTTGATTGGTTGGTTGGCTGATTCATTGGTTGGTGAACTGGTTTGTTGATTGGCTAATTGTCTGGTTGGCTAATGTTGATTGGCTGTTTGATTGGTTGGTAGGTTGATTGATTGGTTGATGAACTGATATCTTAATTTAATGCTTTGTTGATCGCTTGGTTGTCTACTTGAGAAATTGACTGAAAGAACGTCATATTTGAGAATTCCACCAGATTGAACATGCTTAAATAAGAGTATTAAATGCTTCAATATAATTTTTATGCTGAAAAAAGCCTTTTGGTATTTTGGAAAATTTTAAAATTAATTTTCTTTCTGTTTTACAGTGAAAAGTACACAAGGTTTTGCCAGTGGAAAAATTTAGAATTAAATATCAATGTAAGTATTCAGATCTGCTTGTTTCCATGTTTTCGATACTGAGTCGGGGGAGGCTGACCCGGCGGTCAACAGATTCCGGCAGAAGTCAGATGTGTCGGCCGGAAGGCGCAAATATCGCAGCCATGCGGTAAATGGGCACAATGCACTTACGTCTTCGAAGGAAGGCAGAAGAAAATGTTAATTATCATCATTATGGTCTTCAGGATCATCATCATGAGTATTAGAACATGAGAGTCTGGAGTTGGTGGCGGAGGACTGATGAGTGGCAGTCATTAAATTTGACTACAGCAGTTTCAGCCCATCTTCTCTGTAACATTTAACGGATCCTTTTATGTAACATGTAACAGTCCTCATCTGTTATAGGTGATAATCCTTTTCTCTTGTATGTAATACTCCTAATGTGTGATAATCCTAATCTCTCACATGTGATAATCCTAATCTCTTACATGTGATAATCCTTTTCTCTTGCAAATGGTAATTTTAGTCTCTAACATGTGAAAATCATCTTCTCTTGTATGTGATACTCCTGATCTGTCATCATCATTATCATCTTAAACCACTTCTGCCGTTAAGCGTTGTGAGGGAGGAATAATTTGTGATCCAGTGCACGTTGGCTGCCATTGGCTATTGTCATACTGTAAAGGCGTAAAGTGTCTTTAATGTTGTCGATCCATATTTTCCTCAGCCGTCCTCTTTCTCTTGTAGCTGATCTTCTGAGATGTAGTGCTTGTGATGGTATTTGATCTTGCTGCATTTTAACAAGATGGCCAAACCATTTGATCTGCTGTTTCTCGATGAATCTAGTACAAGGTGTTGTTCCCACAATTTGCTTGACAGTTTCGTTATTCACTCAATCTCGGATGGTTAGGTTGGCTGCTTTTCTCAGGCACCTTATCTCACAGGTGGTGATTTTGCCTATATGGGCTTTAGATAGTGTCAATGTTTGGCACTGGTAGCCTAATGTTGGAATAAATATGCGCTCATAGTTATGCTTGGATGTCTTAATAATGGTGACATTTGGTATGTAAGTGCACTTGCTTTCTGACATCTGGTTTCTATTTCTCTGTAAATTCTACCATCTTCTGTGATCATACTTCCTAGTTATTTAAACTCCCTTACTTGATTCAGAGCAAAACCATTCATCTGTTTGTGTAGTGGGGCAGGGGTTCTACTAACTTGCATTGTTTCGTTTTTTTGGGCATTGATCTTCATGTTGTAATTACTGCATGCTGAGTTTAACCTGTTAATGTGGTCACAAAGTCTATCCTCTTCAGGGTAGAACAAGCACTAGTCATCAGCAAATAGTAGTTTGTTTAATGTTGGTGAATCAATAACTTCTCCTGATGTGTGTACTTCCTCATGATTATAAAGATCTATGTTTTCTGTATCAGAACTTGCTTCTTGAGATATTCTGTCTAAATAAATATTAAATACAAGTGGGGAGAGCACTTATCTTTGTCTCACACCTGTGTTGACTGTGAACTTATCTGATATGCCTTCTTGTGTTCTTACAGCATTTTGGCTTGTTTGGTACATGGCTATGATGTTCTGTAGTAGCTGTCCTTGTACCCCGTAGTTCTCAAGAACAGACCACAGTTTGATTCTATGCACTCTATGAAAAGCCTTTTCCTGATCTACAAACACGATATTCTGTTTGGTATTATCCTGAATGGCTTTCTCAACACTTGCGTCAGAGAATAATGCATTTGTGCATCCTCTGCCTTTTCACAGATGCATTATTCACTCTGAGGCAAGTGTGTGAGAAAGCTATTGAGTATAATACCAAACAGAATATCGTGTTTGTAGATATCAGTTACATGTGATAATCCTTTTCTCTTGCATATGATAATCTTCTTCTCTTACATGCAACACAATCCTCTTCTCTTATTGTGATAATGCTCTTCTCCCTTACATGTTATCAGCCTGTTGTTATAAATGCTGTTCTCTGTTGGCAGTTAACCATGAACGATTTCAGCGTGCACAGGATCATTGGTAGGGGCGGCTTTGGGGAGGTCTACGGGTGCAGGAAAGCTGACACAGGGAAAATGTAAGTGTTTTTTCTACATTGATGGTTGTTCTGCTGTCTCATCAGCATCACTGTACCAACACCACCACAACTGTTACATCAGCGTCATTGTACCAACACCACCACAACGGTTACGTCAGCACCATTGTACAAACACCACCACAACTGTTACATCAGCGTCATTGTACCAACACCACCACAACTGTTACATCAGCGTCATTGTACCAACACCACCACAACTGTTACGTCAGCATCATTGTACCAACACCACCACAACTGTTACATCAGCGTCATTGTACCAACACCACCACAACTGTTACGTCAGCACCATTGTACAAACACCACCACAACTGTTACATCAGCGTCATTGTACCAACACCACCACAACTGTTACATCAGCGTCATTGTACCAACACCACCACAACTGTTACGTCAGCATCATTGTACCAACACCACCACAACTGTTACATCAGCATCATTGTACCAACACCACTACAACTGTTACATCAGCATCATTGTACCAACACCACCACAACTGTTACATTAGTATCATTGTACCAACACCACCACAACTGTTACATCAGCATCATTGTACCAACACCACCACAACTGTTACATCAGCATCATTGTACCAACACCACCACAACTGTTACATTAGTATCATTGTACCAACACCACCACAACTGTTACATCAGCACCATTGTACCAACACCACCACAACTGTTACTTCAGCGTCATTGTACCAACACCACCACAACTGTTACATCAGCATCATTGTACCAACACCACCACAACTGTTACATCAGCATCTGTTACATCAGCATCAACTGTACATCAGCATCAACACAACACACCACAACTGTTACATCAGCATCATTGTACCAACACCACCAAAACTGTTACATCAGCATCATTGTACAACACCACCACAACTGTTACATCACCACCACACCACACCTGTTACATCAGCATCATTGTACCAACACCACCACAACTGTTACGTCAGCACCATTGTACCAACACCACCACAACTGTTACTTCAGCATCATTGTGCCAACACCACCACAACTGCTACATCATCATCACATTTACAGTGACAACTGCTACCTCATCATCACCTTTATTATGAAAACTGTTACCTCATAATCAACTTCACAGTGACAACAGCTACCTCATCATCACCTTTATTATGAAACTGTTACCTCATCATTACCTTTATTATGACTACTACCTCATCATCACCTTTACTGTTACAACTGCTACCTCATCATCACATTCACCATGACAACTACTACCTTATCATCACCTTTACAACTGCTACCTCATTATCACCTTCACCATGATGAATGCTACCTCATCATCACCTTTTTATGACAACTGCTACCTCAACATCATTTTCACTGTGACAACTGCTACCTCATCATCACCTTCACTATGATGACTGCTACCCCATCATTACCTTTACCATGACAGCTGTTACCTCATCATCACCTTTACCATGACAAATGCGACCTCATCATAACCTTTACCGTGACAACTGCTACCTCATCATCACCTTCACCATGACAATTGCTACTTCATCATCACCTTCACCATGACAACTGCTACCTCATCATCACCTTTACCATGACAACTGCTACCTCATCACCACTTTTACACCATAAGTACTGGAGAGAGTGAGGGATTAGCTGATGCCCTCCTGATTACAAGTATAAACTGTAGATGAATAATATGATAATAATTGTAACAGTAATAATGATTACAGTTGTGATAATTTATACAGTTATTACTGATAACTGAGTATAAACTATCACAACCGTTATCATCATTATTAAAACAATTATTAATGTCAGAATCATGCCCCCCCCCCCCCCACCTCCAGCAGCATCCTTGATATAATGAGGATAGTAATCACTAACATAATAATCATCATAGCCTCAAGGAAATGGGTACAGAGTTAACACTCTGGGGTAAATGGAGGAACATCGCTGTAGCTATGAAGTTGCGTTTCTTAACAGCTGTCTATACTGGTGGCAGAGCACTTATGGTTTATAACTGTGTTGAGTGACGCTGGTTCACATCTCCCGACTTTACCTTTTACCCATTTCTAATAATCATCATCAAAATAATAATAACTGACATTAGCATCGTTATGCAACGACAGCTACACAGAAACTACATGAGATGAGTTCACTATTTAGGGGCTGAAGTAGACTCCTGGTCAGAACATGTGTACATTGTGTAAGCCTTGCCCTGCTGAGAGTTCAGCCGCCATTGCCTCTGTTCCAGGTATGCAATGAAGTGTTTAGACAAGAAACGGATTAAAATGAAAGGTGGAGAGACACTGGCCCTCAATGAACGGATCATGTTGTCGCTAGTTAGTACTGGGGTAAGTGGGCAGATGTGTGTATGTTGTTTTGTTGTCTGATAGGTATATATCTGTATGTGTGTTGTGCTTTTTAGGCGTATATGTGTTGTTGTGTGTGGTACAGAAGTTAGTGGGTACACATGTTTGTGCGTTGTCATGACGGGTAATCAGTCATTAGTTCCTTTTGTTGTGTTTGATGCCAGGCTATCTCTGCCGGTCTAAATATGAAGTTTGAATGTTAAAAACAACAACATTGGTGATTATAATTTTTTATTGTGTTGGTGATAATAGTATTTTCATTGTTTGCTCGATGTTTTCGATGCATGGCTCAGAAGTAAGGGCACTGCAGTTGGCAACACAAATGCATCATCCTCTGGACTTGTAATGCAAAAAATTATGAATATGGAGTGGACATAAAGCGGGCATCATCAGATGATACAGGATAAGACAGATTGACTTGAGTTCGGGGAAGGCAATGTGGGATGAAAGAAGGATGAAGAAGAAATACATTACCGCCAGTCTTAATTGTAGAGACGTCTCCGAACGATGATGTTAAGTTTCTTGGCAGTGATGGTGGATATCTGGGGGGGGGGGGGGGGGGGGGGGGTATGAAAGCGTTGCCATGTCTCTGTTGGCATTGAGGCTTGGATGTTTGACACTTACAGTGGCAGGCCTGAAGCTCACATCCTGCAGGAGATGACATTAAGGACATTCAAATATATCGGGTCAAGCAAATTTGCTGTCTTTGTTAGCTGGGGGTTGGGAGGGGGTATTTCTTGTGGGCTGGGAAATATGGGAGAGACTTCAGACTTACTGGCTGGAGAAACTAGGAGTGGAAGTAGACGAAGAAGAAAACAACGAGGAGTAGGAAAGGAAAAAAAAGAAAACTACAACCACAGGGGTGGGGATGGGGGGGGGGGGGGTGAGGTAGGATTCAAATAATAATACGAGTATGTGTAGCAAAGGTAAGGAGCAAACAAACAGAGAAAGGCAGAAGATATTGTGCACTGGTGTGAACTGTTGTATGTGTGTGTCACAGACAGACAGGCACAAAGACACATGTATGTGTGTGTCACAGACAGACAGGCACACAGACACATGTTTGTGTGTGTCACAGACAGACAGGCACACAGACACATGTTTGTGTGTGTCACAGACAGGCAGGCAGACAGACACATGTATGTGTGTATGTATGTATGAATATGTGTATGTGTATGAGTATGTTTGGGGAGAAAGACACGCACACAGAGAGAGAGAGAGAGAGAGAGAGAGAGAGAGAGAGAGAATTACACACACACACACGAACGCACGCACGCACACACACACAGAGAGAGAGAGAGAGAGAGAGAGAGAGAGAGAGAGAGAGAAGGAGAGAGTACTGAATCACACACAAAAGTGAAGTTGCTGCCATCAGTGTGAAGGAGGGCCAACATTTAATGTGGGTGGAATTCAATTGATTGCACATGGAGACTTCAGGATCCAGCGCATTAGCAGAATCCGGCATTTCTTAGAAGCTTCTCTGGCGTAACAGCTTTTCTATTGAATTTTGAAATCGCTTTTTTGCACAGTTCTGTCTCTGTCTCTTTCTCTCTCTCTCTCTCTCTCTCTCTCTCTCTCTCTCTCTCTCTCTCTCTCTCTCTCTCTCTCTCTCTCTCTCTCCCTCTCTCTCCTCTCTCTCTCTCTCTCTCTCTCTTTCTCAATCTCTCTCTGTCTCTCTGTCTCTCTCTCTCTCTCTCTCTCTCTCTCTCTCTCTCTCTCTCTCTCTCTCTCTCTCGTGTGTGTGTGTCCCGTCTGTGAATGTGAATGGTTGTGTGGGTGTCTTCGATTAATATCCTTCTTGTACACTTATGTTTCTCTGGTCTCTCTGGTATGTCTGCATGACTGTCTGTCTGCCTCGCATGTCTGCATCATTTTCTGTCCTTTGAAGTCTCTGTCTGCCCACCTGTTCCTACACTCTGTCCTTTGTTTTTTTTTTTTTGATGCCTTTATTTTGTCTGTCTTGTCTTTTATTCTTTCATACTTGTATTATTGCATTGTCTCACAGTCCTTTATTCTTGCCTTACTTGTCTTAGTGATATATTTATCCTTTCATTGTCTGTGTAATTCATTCGTTCTTTTTTCATTCTTCCTTGCCTTTCTTTTCTTTTCCTTCTATCTTTCCCATTTTTATTTCCTTTAAAAAAATATCTGACGCCTGTGGTTGTGCCTATGCCTGTGGTTGTGCCTATGCCTGTGGTTGTGCCTATGCCTGTGGTTGTGCCTGTGGTTGTGCCTATGCCTGTGGTTGTGCCTATGCCTGTGGTTGTGCCTATGCCTGTGGTTGTGCCTATGCCTGTGGTTGTGCCTGTGGTTGTGCCTATGCCTGTGGTTGTGCCTATGCCTGTGGTTGTGCCTATGCCTGTGGTTGTGCCTATGCCTGTGGTTGTGCCTATGCTTGTGGTTGTGCCTATGCCTGTGGTTGTGCCTGTGGTTGTGCCTATGCCTGTGGTTGTGCCTATGCCTGTGGTTGTGCCTATGCCTGTGGTTGTGCCTATGCCTGTGGTTGTGCCTATGCCTGTGGTTGTGCCTATGCCTGTGGTTGTGCCTATGCCTGTGGTTGTGCCTATGCTTGTGGTTGTGCCTATGCTTGTGGTTGTGCCTATGCCTGTGGTTGTGCCTATGCCTGTGGTTGTGCCTATGCCTGTGGTTGTGCCTATGCTTGTGGTTGTGCCCATGCCTGTGGTTGTGCCTATGCCTGTGGTTGTGCCTATGCTTGTGGTTGTGCCTATGCCTGTGGTTGTGCCTGTGGTTGTGCCTATGCCTGTGGTTGTGCCTATGCCTGTGGTTGTGCCTGTGGTTGTGCCTGTGGTTGTGCCTATGCCTGTGGTTGTGCCTATGCCTGTGGTTGTGCCTATGCCTGTGGTTGTGCCTATGCCTGTGGTTGTGCCTATGCCTGTGGTTGTGCCTATGCCTGTGGTTGTGCCTATGCCTGTGGTTGTGCCTATGCCTGTGGTTGTGCCTATGCCTGTGGTTGTGCCTATGCCTGTGGTTGTGCCTATGCCTGTGGTTGTGCCTATGCCTGTGGTTGTGCCTATGCCTGTGGTTGTGCCTATGCTTGTCCTTGCTGAATGTTGCCCCTCTACACTGCTGCTGACATATCTGTGTAAACGTCTCCACCTGCCTCTCCCTCTTTCTTTTCCCCTAGCCGGAGAACGTCTGCAGCAACCTGTATCTGGTGAGACAACGTGTTCTCTGGTTTGATTACAGTGGTTCCTACACGTGACTAGTCCGCCCACCCGCAGCACACTCGTACACACTCACATACATTAATGCATACACACAGACAGACACATGCACTCGTGGTGAGTGAACTCTGTGCCCCTGCAATAACTATACTATTTTCTGCAGCTGCTTGTGGGCAGTAACTGTCACTTTGGGAACCACTACGTTTTAATTCTCACCGTGTTTTTATTAAGTTTTTTTTTTTTTTTTTTGAAGTTTTCTTGATATTTGTTGGGTTTAAAAAAAAAAGACGTTTAGTCACAGATTTTACAGTTGGCACCTTTACGTTTGTTCGGGGTTGGTGTATATTGACCGTGACTACTACTACTGCTGCTGCTATTACTATTACTGCTGCTGCTGCTACTACTACTGCTGCTGCTGCTACTACTACTACTACTACTACTACTACTACTACTACTACTACTACTACTACTACTACTACTACTACTACTACTACTACTACTACTACTACTACTACTACTACTTCTTCCTCCTCCTCAAGCACCGCCGCCTCCCCCTCCTCTTCTTCTTCTTTTTGGCAATACCCGGCTGTACACTTCGGCAGAAAGTCCTGGTTAATTGTCCACGTCTGAACTTAAGTCTTGTTCCAGATCGTCAGTTTTGCCTGTACGTTCGTTTTATATATCTAGCTTGCTTGTATACAAACTGTTGGTTTCTCGACTCTGACTTTGAAGGAAACGTGGATCCTAACTAGGTTGGCCAGACTGCAGCTGGGAATCTGTGTCTAGGACGACCACTGAACACAGCTCTAGGCAGCTCCTGACCAGTGTGATGAGCTGTGGTCCTGTTGTACCAGCGTGTCCGGCTCAGAACCGCCACATACCATCGTCTTCTCAGCAAGGCATGGTCCATGAATGCCAAAACGGTGTTTGCTAGACAGTGGAACCACCTTAGATGTTATCCCCCACCCTCTCTCCCCTAGGAAGATTGCCACGTGGGCAAGCCGTTTGCGTTGTGCTGTAAAGGTCGTGGTTTTGTTATACGGTTGCGTCATTCAAATGCAGTCTTATGGAGATCCCCTGGGACCGTCAGTGGATTTACGGAGTTCATGCTTTGTGCGACTCTGTCATCAGATGGCGTTTCTGTGGGGAGAGACCAAGATATTTGAGATAACACCTTGTGCATTGAAGTCGACCCTCTCTCCTCCATCACTAGTGCCTCCCCATACCTCTAACAAATATTACACCAAACACAGTTAGACAGATAACGGAACCCTCTTTGGGATCTGTTGCTGAAGTTGCAAGTAACAACAGGGATCTGTTGCTGCAAATTGCTAGTAACAAAATGAATCTGTAAACAGCCTGGCCACACCTTCCATACTGTAGCCCGACCACACCTTCCATGCTACAGTCCGACCACACCTACCATGTAGTGGCCCGACCACACCTACCATGCTGCAACCTGACCACACCTACCATGCTACAACCCGACCACACCTACCATGCTACAGCCTGACCACACCTACCATGCTACAGCCTGACCACACATACCATGCTACAGCCTGACCACACCTACCATGCTACAGCCTGACCACACATACCATGCTACAGCCCGACTACACCTACCACGCTACAGCTTGACCACACCTACCATGCTGCAGCCCGACCATGCTGCAGCCCGACCACACCTACCGTGCTGCAGCCTGGCCACACATACCATGCAGCGGTTCGACCACACCTACCATGCTGCAGTTCGACCACACCTACCATGCTGCAGCCCGACCACACCTACCATGATGCAGCCCGACCACACCTACCATGCTGCAGCCCGACCACACCTACCATGCTGCAGCCCGACCACACCTACCATGCTGCAGCCCGACCACACCTACCATGCTGCAGCCCGACCACACCTACCATGCTGCAGTTCGACCACACCTACCATGCTGCAGTTCGACCACACCTACCATGCTGCAGTTCGACCACACCTACCATGCTGCAGTTCGACCACACCTACCATGCTGCAGTTCGACCACACCTACCCTGCTGCAGCTCGACCACACCTACCATGATGCAGCCCGACCACACCTACCATGATGCAGCCCGACCACACCTACCGTGCTGCAGCCTGGCCACACATACCATGCAGCGGTTCGACCACACCTACCATGCTGCAGTTCGACCACACCTACCATGCTGCAGTTCGACCACACCTACCATGCATGCAGCCCGACCCCGCCTACCATGATGCAGCCCGGCACCGTAGCGACACCCCTGGCAGCTTAAGAACCGTCGGCAAAATTCCCCTTCCTACCCCCGCCTTCTGTGGGGAGTTTAAAAGCGCCCTTAGAATACTTGACATTTTTGTTGTTTCTGTTTCGTTTTTCGTCTGGATCGTCACGTCCCCAATCCATCTTCGATGCCCTAAAAGGCGACTCTAACTGCAGGGCTGCTGAAGTTGGTACTTTCGTACATATGTGGTTCTATTAGACCCTGGCCGTGCAGATCTGTACTTTTGGTACTACGCCAGATGGTCTGATATGTTTAATCAATTTTAAATATTAGCATTGTGTTTGACCTGTTCTAAAAAGAAGTGATTAGAAATGTACTAAAGATAGGCTTGATGCCGTTGTCGATGCCAGTGTACCTGTCATTTGAGGCAATTTCTTTCACGTTCAGAGACCAGTGAAGGAATGCGCATCCAGTTATTTGGCATATGGCTCTCTCTCATGTTTTTCTCGCTCATTAACATTCCAGTTATTTTGATGCTCATGCTTTTCAGTTTTCCCCTCGAATTTTTTATAATATTTTGTTAATAAATTTAGTTACACACACACAAATTCAGATAGATATAAATGTTGTGTTGTTCGTCCATTACAAGTGATAAGAGCCTCTTTTGCCCTTATCCATCCTAAAACTATAGTTAATTGTGTGTGTGTCCAGAGCTGATTTATAAGCCCGGAAGGAGGAGCTAGGACAATGAGGGTAGGAAACAGCGTCTGTAGGTTAAGGGTCTAATGAAGAAACGAATAGAAATATTCATGTTGTAAAAGACGTTTCAGTTGGGGTTTTTTTAAATATTAAAAATTTTTTAAATTACGTTTTAGTGTGTTTTGGTACCTTTTCAAAATAAATTTCGGCAGCCCTGCATGAGTGATTGTTTAGGATGGAACTGTTGGGATTTCTGGCGGGCCATACCCTGCCCTGGAGCACAGTGTCACGGTTTAATTACGCCACGCCTTTTCCCCGGGATAAACGGTTTACCCTAGATGACAAGCAGACGGCACTTGTGTGTGTCAATGATTCGATTTTCTCCCTGTGTCCTTCTAGTTCCCCCCTCTTCCACATATTACTCAAATTCCTTTTTTCTTTCTTTCTAAAATAAGCTTCTTTTAAGTTTTTGTTTGTTTGTTTGTCTAGTACAATTTTTTTGCGTTTGATTTGTTTATTTCCCCACCATTCTCTTTGGCAGGCAAGTATTTCACATCGTCATACATATTATAAGTTTTTAAAGGGGTAGAAAATATTAGGCAAGAGAAAAAGTTGGCAAGAATGAATAAACGGTTTATATTAGCTTTACAAAATTGATCACAAACAAACAAAGGACGTTGCGGCGATTAGCCTTCATCAGCACCTAACGAACAACACAGTAGTCACATACACAAATATGCTCTATATATATTATAAGACGGTGGTGCACTTGATGTCTCCAATTTGTCCTTCAAGTTTATCTTAAATGTCGCTCCTCTGGGCCTCTCTTCTCTCTCTCTCTCTCTCTCTCTCTCTCTCTCTCTCTCTCTCTCTCTCTCTCTCTCTCTCTCTCTCTCTCGCTCGCTCTCGCTCTCCCCTCTCTCTCAGGTAGGGTTGGAATGGGGTGGGGAGGGGGTCCATCTACTGAGGTGATAATATTTGGGAGTCAGATGTATTTGGTGAAGATGTCTGAGTGCTACCGTTCTGGTCAGTCTGAAAATGCTTGTCTGTGCTTTTCTGCTAAGTTTATTAATTAACTCTTTGGTGACCAAGGAGGAAAAAAGTATTCGTGTATTTATAACTAATGTGACTTTCCTGTCCTACCGACAGAGTTAATAACAATCTTATGCTCAGGCCTTCAATTGGCCTGCGCTATCTCCATGTCCCCCCCCCCCCTCCAGTATGTCTACTTAGACTGGTTTCAGTGTCCCTTAAGCTGCCTACGATGTTTTCCTAAGGCTTGCAGGCACGACGAACAGATGCCTTGAAGAAGTCGTTTGGAAGGTGCAAATCTGCTGTATGTGAACTGACAGCACATTCTCTCAAAATATGCGTATTGATCGAAAGAAGTTTACGAAACCACAGAACGCGATGTGGTTCTCCATGACTTTAATCTATTTAGCAAAGCCACTATAGCGTTATAATCGAATATTCTTCATTTCATTAGCTTCCGATTTTTCATTTTTTTTTTTCAATTGTTAATGTGTCGACCTTGTCGTTTGTTATTGGCTGGGAGAACTGTTGTTGGTCTGGGGCGGCACCAGGTTTGATCAAGCCTTTATAGATTAGTCTCTGTCTGTCATCTGTGCGTCCTCTATCAGTCTGTCTGTCTGTCTGCTTGCCTGGCTGCCTGTTTGTCTGTCTTTCTGCCTGCCTGCCTGTCTGTCTGTCTGTCTGTCTGTCTGTCTGTCTGTCACAAGCTTGTTTGACTGTCTCACCTCACTCTCACTCTCTGTCATAAGCCTGCCTGTCTTTCACTCCCTCACTCTCTGTCTGTCTGTCATAAGCCTGCCTGCTTGTCTTTCACTCCCTCACTCTCTGTCTGTCTGTCATAAGCCTGCTTGCCTGTCTGCCTGTCTGTCTTTCACTCCTTTACTCTGTGTGTGTGTGTACACACGAATACTTATTTGTCAGTCTACGAGTATGTGCACGTGTGTGTACGTATGTCTGTGTGTGTATGTGTCTATGTATATGGTATGCACGCATGCATGCTTCATGCATGCATGCATGCATGTATGTATGT